TGTATCCTTGCTCTGGAGTGTGTTACTGAATGTGCTAAAGCTGTAATGAAATGCTTCTAATCATGTGGTTATTAAATTTAAAAAAAAAATTTAATTCCAACCTGGATTCTCATAGTTTTAGAGACCACTGTGTAAGCTGCTGAGGGAGCAAATCAAAATATGGTCCAACCCCAGCTTTAAGGCCTAATAACCACAACAACGATCACAACAGCAAACTACATTGGGGCAGTAGTGACACTTTTATCTTGGGGGTAATCAACAACCTAATTGCCTAATTGGACTTAAAGCTCTCTCAGTGGGAGGGAACTCATGTGTGATACTGTAAACACAGCCAAATACACGTGGCTTGAGAGGTCATAGATCCTAGAGAAAACCCTGTGTCTGTCACATCCCTAGACAAATGTAGTTTCTTACTATGTACAAAATATGGATCCTTATATTTACAGATGAGTATTCCAGTCACCACTCATCAAAGAAGCTTCTTTTGCAACAGATGGAGACCATTAACTTTCCACAACTGGTCACACAGAGAGATTATGTGTCTGTGAAATGCCCAGCCCTAAGTGGCACATCTACAATGGAACCTCTACACCTAAGGCTCACGGAACATAGTGGAACAGTGGGGAGAGAGAACACTAGTGCACCTCTCAACTCTCATCAGTGACACTCCCTCCTGCAACAGAGGGCCATGAGCACAAATGGACACAAATGTTCAAAGTGTGGGTCCTTGGACAGAACTACTGTTTTAAACTTCACCCGCCCAGGGCTCAGGGATGACTGTGGAAGAGGCAGTGAAAAGATTGTGAGCGCCAGGGAGGAGGTGCAGGACCACATGGGAATAGAATCCTGCAGGCTCCTGGAAACTTGCTCATATGAACTTACAGTGACGGTGTCAGCATGCAGAGGACCCATGCAAACTTAAGCAGACAAAAGCCCAGCACAGAACTATAGAAACTGGCAATAGGTCACAGTCTTAACCAAAGAACTATTGGGCAGCTGATTGGTGCTGGGTCAGGAAGAGTTGATCTTTTTTAAGGGAGGGACTCTAGATAGGCTGACTAGACCTCAGCGGATGAACTTTCACTCAGGGATGTCTGGGTAGATGTCACTTGACTCAATAGGCCTTGACAGAAATGACAGAATGCATGAAATCCAGTGAGGGGTCCATGGGAGGGTGCGAATAAGGAGGGGGATAAAGATGCTTAAAATGTTTATGAAATACAAGAAAATTCAAAAAGAAATATTCAAAAATATATTCCAGCACAGGGGCTCAAGAGACAGCTTAGCTATTAGGCGTCTGTGATGTGCCTGCAGAGGAACTGGCTTCCTGTGACTCATCTCGGGTGGCTCGCAACCACTTTTAAGTGCAGCTGCAAGCTGACACCTCTGGCCTCTATGGGTATTGCACTCACATGCATATACCCATGTGTAAAAATAGGCACAAATATTTTTTAAAGTCCAGCATGGAGGTCAAAGGAGTTCTGAAGGTCCCTCCTCTAGCAGAGGAAGAGAGAGAGTCTGTTCTTTGAGGAGTGTGGCCACTGGGAGGTTCCCAGTGCCCCGGTGAATAGCACGACACCAGTGTGTATATGGGCAGCACTAATTGAATTCAGTGAGTTTAGCAAACAAGGAGGCCTTGAAATTGAGATGTGATAGACAGGTCCTGGGAGTTGCTAGGGGGAGCATGGGATGGAAACAGTCAATACACATTGTCTACATATATGACCTTTTCAAAGAATAAGATTTTTTGATATATATACCATTGTATGAGGTTCTGATTTGCAGTCCCCCCACTGGCCTTCCCTGTTCTTCCTCACTACCTCTTGATAGTACCCCCTCCCACCCAACAAGCCCTTTACTATTGTCGTACATATATGACAAATACGCAGATATGCATATCCTTCTTGTGAGATAAAACTTGCAATATTTTGTATTTCTTCTTTTATGACTCCTCCTCCACACTCATGATCCACCTTAGACTTTCACGTCTTATGTATGTGTGCATATACACATACACATATTTAAATCTAGAACCACATATGAGAGAGAACATGCTCTATTTGTCTTCCTGAGTCTCGCTTGTTTAACTTAGCATGATGATCTTCAGGTTGATACTGTTGTGTTGTGTTGCGTTGTGTGAGTCACCGGCACGGCTGGAAGACTGTCCTGTAATCAACAAGAACAGCGAGGCTGCTATGGGCTGTCAAGTTCCCTGGCAGTGGGTTGCAGGCATGGGTAGGAGGCATCTAGAGTCTTCAGAAATACACTATTAAGGATAAAGAGAGAAATACCATTTTCCTGTCCCACAGGATGATAACCATTTTAAATAAAGTGCTATGGTGCCTGAGAAGAATAAATATTTTCTGGCATGCTTAGCTTGAATCGTAGCTGTATTTCTCAGTTGCCAAACACCAACTTGTCTTTGAGATGTGTCGGCCTCCTCCTTCCAGGACCTGACTGACATCATTATCAAATGGTCCCATGTGGTATTCTTTTGTGTTAGATGCATTTATCAGATCTGTGTGAGGTAACTGGAAAGAGTGAAATAGTAGGACTGAGATTTTGTGGGCACCCCAATCACCTGGGGTTTGTGAGCACACTACCACATGCCTGTCTTATCTCTCAGCCTACCAGAAGTGTCCAAGACAGGCTTTGGGAAGTCACAGTGTGTAATGTATTTTCCTCTGAAATTCTAGTGCTGGCAGAGATTGAAACTTGATGCTATAACCATCCAAAATACCTTAGATGAAAAAACTGAAACCCAAGAACTCTCCAGACACCAGGCAGTGTTATTTGAATTCCTTAGAACTGTAGGCAACAGTTCTAGACCATGTGTGGGGCTGTAATGCTGGTCATCCAGAGCAGGTCAAGGGCCAGGCATACTTTGCCATTTGGTCCTCATCATTTTCGCCCCAGGGTAGCCTCCCTTCTGGGGTTTCAGCCCAAATCTTTTTCATAGCCATGACATATTTCCTTTGCCATGTGCTTGCCTTGGCCTTGATTAATTGCTTTTAATAGAACTTCAGAGAATGGGTGGAGGTTAAAATGACCACATCCACATCACCCTTGGTACCGATCAGGAATTTTTCAGAAATCTGACAGTATTTGCCTGCCAGGTCTCCTTGGATGCATTCTGCGGTCACACTGGGGCTGCACTATTGCATGGTTCCTGCCTAGGTCCTGACATCTGAGTGTCTGCACTCTGATCCTCACACTGCAGCTTGGATCAAGGGCTCTTTCTGGGCCTCTCTCTTGTCTTCATGGGAGGATAGTATAAGGTAGGAAATGTAAGTCATGTGCTTAGTGTGAAGTAGTGAGCGCTTATAAGTGTTAGCTATTTTCAAACTTCTACTACTGTGTGGTTCTAGCAAGCAGCTAAGTGCAAACATAGGTTCTTAGCCTCCACGAAACCTCTCTGGTCCACTTCAGAGCCCACAGATCCCCTCACCGGGAGTCCGCGGTCCCTGTCCGCGGTCCCTGTCGCCATACCACCACTCATCACCACTGGCAGGAGAGCGGCTCTTCAGTCCAGTAGCTGCCCTGCTCCTCTGTTTTCTCTCCTCTGTCACTCATTCATCTCCCTGTTCTTGGGTGATCCCCATGAGGACAGAGTGTGAAACTGCAGTGTGAATAATGAACCCTCCAAGAATGCATTTATCTTAGCAGAGCTCTTCAGAGCCCTGTGGAGCTCCCAAGTTCCCCAGGCTTTCCCCAAGGCACCATGGAATAAGTTCTGGTAGAGCTGAGGATGGCAGTTTTGGTAGGAGGCGGCCACTCCGGCTGCAGTCCTCACAGGTTCAGGGGGAGGGTTTCAGCCACTGTGGCTTGAGATGTACCCATTCAGTGGGCGGGTGGGAGCCCCAGTCTGGTCTGGTTTTCAAACTCAAGTAAAACAGATGGCCTAAAGAATGCTCACAGGGATCCCAGCTGGGCTCACTCTTTGGGCTTCCATGGAAATGCCCTCCAGAGAGATGCGGGGCCTTGGGTCAAGGAGTCGAGCACTTCCCACCTGTCACAGCCCCCAGCAGTGAGGACCTAGGGTGGTGTAGGGGCCCTCGGGGCTCGAGGGACTGCCTGCAGACTGCTTCGAAGAAGCCAGGACACAGGAGATCTGGGAAAGAGGGACCCTGTCCACCAGTTCGGCCAGTCCTCCTCCCAGAGGACAATCAGATGCACAGGATTCAAGCAGGAGTTCGCTTATTGCAGGTGTCACAGAGCTTATAAAGGCAAAAACCACAGTTTGGAAATCCTCCCCCCAAGTCCCTCCCGAATGTATCCAATCAGCTTCAAGGTCAGCCGGCCACATGGGCAGAGTCCCATAGACATCAACGATTTCATGTGCTGATCACGCGCCCCCAGAGGGGGCCCGGGGAGTGGCTTTCAGCCAATCGGGAGGTTTTCCAAACAAGCCAGGCCTCGCCCTGCTCGCTTCCTCTCAGTGCCATCTTTGCAGGGTCGCTCGTGGGATCCCACGGTGTAGGGAAGAGGCAACTGCCCCCTGAGTTCCTGTGGCTGGGTTGGTAGTTCTTAGAATGGGTTTAGCATTCCATTCACCTGAGGAGTTTGTCAGAAAAACTCAAATACCTGGTTCTTTCAAGATCTTCTAGCGGGGAACCTGACATCTGTATTTCTGATAACTGAAAGTTCTGCCAGTGCTGGTAAGAAGGGGAGGAGAAGAGGAAGGACTATTGAGCGGTACTATCTGTACCAAGGTCACAACTGAACTGCCCCTCCACCGGATTTGAAAATGCTTGTTTCTGTGATGTAAGATCTGCCTAGGATGTGATACGTGCTCCATTTGGTGCTGTTTGATGAACTATCATTCTTCCAAAGTGTGCATGAGCGCACACACTCTTCATCAGGCTGTTACAGCTTTTGTTTGTCCCCGCCTACCACGCTGAGGAGAGATGGCCTCACAGTTTCGGCTTGCCCTCACCAGAAGCTATTTGATGTTTTCACCTCATCTTTGCTCCGAAATGACCATCTTCTCTCTCCCGTAGCTTTGGCATGGTTCATGATGGAGAAGGAAACAGGTGCAAAAAGTCGGAGGGTAACATAATGTCACCCACACTGGCAGGACGCAACGGGATCTTCTCCTGGTCTCCCTGCAGCCGCCGGTACCTGCACAAGTTTTTAAGGTATGGATCCCTTGAGCTGGTTTTGTAATCTCCCTGTACTTTTGATGGTCGCTGCTTCTGCAAGAAGCTCCCCTGCGTTTCCCTCAGTGGGACAGAGGAGTTTGCCACAAGGCCGAGTTCCCTCCAGCCCTGAGCCTGCCAGCGAATCTGACGCTGGTCTTGAGACTCACAGCACAGGCGCACAGTGCTTACCGCACCAAAGGGCTGGTCATGAACGTTGAGTTAAAAAATGTTCTCAGTGTGGACACCAGGGACCTCTAGTCAGTTAACAGCACAAGGAGATCCAGCTTGTATCCTTCCACATCCTCAATGATAAAGCGTAACTATTTTTTAATATTTTATTTTTGTTATGATGTTATTTGTGTCTGACTGTATTGCCTGCATGTAGGTAGGTGCACACGTGTTGTGCAATGCCTGCAGAGGTCAGAAGAGGGTGTCGATTCCCCTGGAACTGGAGTTACAGATGGTTGGTAGTCATCATGTAGGTGCTAGGAATTGAACCCAGGTTGTCTGCAAGAGCAGCCAGTGTTATTAACCACTGAGCCATCTCTCCAGTCCAGGATAACTATTTTCTAAATACATTTTTGGTTAGGTTGGAAAATTTAAAAAGCTTTATCCTGGTTCTAAAACCATGTAATTTTAAAATAAAATTTCATGATATCATAAAAGCATTTTGAGTGCAGAGGAAGTAAAAAGTAGCAGTATATTGATTTTAAGGTTCCAGAATAAATGGGATCTTAAATATCTTCGTATTCGCAAGGCAGAGTATTCATCAAATCTCACCAACTTGGCAGGGTATCTGTCGAACCTCACAAACTTGTCGCAAGTCTATGTTAAGACTTAAACGGAAGATGTATTGCTGACATACAGCACATTCCAACTGGGACCCGGAAAGGCGCTGCTCCAGTCTGCCTATTACCTGTTCCTCCCTCTTCCAAACCCAGTTTTCCCCTCTTGGCTGAGGGCAGAGAGCACAGAGGCTATGTGTGGGGCAGGGAGGGTCCTACAGGGAGAGCCTGGAAGGTGGGTCACAAGTGCGGTGCTGTGAAACGCTGTTTATCTGGAGTTCTGGAGAAGATTGGGCTGCCCCACTTACCCCAGCCCTGTCCCAGCGCGGGGACTCCAGCCTTCAGGGAGCATGTAGTGACAGCAACATGGGGATTGGGCCTGGACATTTGGGAGCCGAAACATGGGCTAATGCCACTGATCATAAGGGCAAGGGGTACGGCCAGCAGAGCAACGCAGCCTCCTGCAGTTGCTGTCGTTATTTACCTTTTAATCATCACATAGCACAAGCAAAATGCTCACATTCAACCTGGTGTAACCCACACCTGTAATCCCAGAATTGGGCAGGTAGAAGCAGAAGGATTAAGAGTTCAAGGTCATCCTCAGCTGCCTAGGGAACTCCAGGATCATCTGGGCTACCTGAGATGAAGAGTCATTCTGGAGAGGGCTGAGCTATTGGGACGACACAGGTGGGGCGGGTGCTGGACCTACAATGCAGGACCTCTGTAGGGCTCCTGTGCTGGGTCCTGCCCAGCCCTGACATCACTTTGCACACTGACTCACTCTCCTAGGACTGAACAGTAGTGCTGGCACAAGTTACACTGTGGCATTTTGTTCTCCATAGAAGGCACGTGACTTTCCACCTTTGCTGTTGAGATTAGAACTGTTTCCTTGGCCTCTGAAGGGAAGCGTATTTTTATTCGGAGCAAAGGGTGGGCTCAGTCATAACACAGAACCCTGCTTCTGCACACAGCATTGTGCTGGCTCCTCAGCAAATGTGTTAAGTCAACATAGTCAAGGCGCTCTGGACAGTAGGTGCAAAGAACGGGCTGGCTTCTTTTCTTTCCTGAATTCTTTTTTCGCAGTCCTTAAAAAGTAGAGTTTTCGGGGAACTGGAGAGATGGCTCAGCAGGTAAGAGCACGGGCTGCTTTCTTTTTCTAACTTTTTTGACCTTTTTATTTTAATTCACGTTTTTCTTTTTAAAATTCGTTTATTATTTGGGGCTGGAGAGATGGCTTAGCGGTTAAGAGCACTGGCTGATCTTGCAGAGGACCTGGGTTCAATTCCCAGCACCCACAAGGTGGCTAACAACCATCCTAACTCCAGTTCCAGGAGATTCAATGCCCTCTTCTGACCTCCATGGACACAATTTTATGCATGTATGCAGTGAATTATGGTCATTTTCACCTTCGTTACCATCTCTCACCCATCTCCCATTGAACCCTGTCTTCTCCCCAAGTCAACAAGTCTAGTTTCATGTGTGTGTGGGGGGGGTCATGTATATGTGTGGTGTGCAGGGGTGTTGAAGCCCAAGGTTGACATCAACGTATATTTCAAGTGCTGTCCACCTTTGTCTTTCTGAGACAGGGTTTCACTGAACCTGCAGTTCCTGGGTTTGGCTAGGCTGGCTGGCTGGTGAAGCTCAGGGATCTGCCTGTCTCCGTGGCCCCTCTCTACCTGCTGCAAGGTTGGGGCTACAGGCAATTGCTGCATGCCTAGCTTTCTACAAACCTTCTGGGGACCCAAATACAGATCTTCCTACTAAGGTGGCAGGCACTTTATAGATGGAGCCACCTCCTCAGCCCTCGTCAGATTCGTTGTTCTGGTTCTGTGGCCCACTACGTTTACTTAGACTGGCTTGTATGAGCATGGGAGGGGATTATTGATGGGTGCATAGGTAAGGTGACTGTGACCACACCATTAAGGAAAGCGACCCCCCCCCCAAGCAGGGAAAACCAGGACTCCATGCTGGAGTACTAGCAGGTCCAGGTCTTTTACGAATCTCGTGCAGGTAACCACAGTTGCTGTGAGTTTGTGGATGTAACAGCATGTCACGTCCAGAGGACAGCGTTCAGTAGCACCCCCAGTCCTCTGGTTCTTCTTTCTGTACCCGCTCTTCTGCAGTGTTCCCTGGACTTTGGGGGAGGTAGAAAACAGATGTCCCACTTAGCTCTGAGCATCCACAATCACGTATCCTCAGGACTTTGGCCTGTTATGAGTCTCTGTTGCCTAATACATATGGAAGCTTCTGTGCCCACAGCTCTGACTCACCTCATTGCTGGCTTTTGTGGACCTTCTTCTGCCCCTTCCCTGCTGGCAGGTTCTCTGTGAGCCTCTCCTGGGGCTGGGAGAAGCGTCTTTAGCCGTTTCATGTTTTTCCAGTGAGAATGAACATCTTTGCTCTCAGCAATGAAGAGTTTGCTCTTAAGCTACTCTTACTTATATAAACAGGGAGGTTTGGAGTTTCTATATCCAGAAACTTTTCCATCATTTTCTAGGCTCCTTTTCCACAATTTACAAAGCTCTCTTTCACCTCAGTGGTTATGAGAAAAATAGATCAGCATTTTAAAATTTTAAATTATGTTCTGACAACTTGGAAAATTAGAGGGTGAAAATTTGGGTATGCAGTGAGAGTTAGTATCAAGAGTCCAAGCACAGTGACACGGCCAAGACGCATATGAACACTCATGGAAGTAAGTAATTGCCGGGACCTATGAGATGTTGTGAGGACACAGAATGGGCTGTGATCACCAAATCAGAGTGCACTTCTCAGAGTTATTACTAAGATTCTAGAATTCGAAAACAGTTTTGTTCAGTGGCGCGGAATGAGTAAAATATACATTCGTGGTGAAGTAGTCTGCCTTGGTTTTATGCTGATCAATAAAATGCTTCTTCAGCAACTTAGGAGTTAAACTACTTTCAGGAATTTTACTAATTTCCTTAGACCTTGTAATTATAAATAAATATGTGACATAGTGCATCCTCATTTTTTTCTAGGATCAAAATTTCTAAGAGAAAATCTCCTTGTCAAACTCGCTGTGAGGTTTATTTAACTTGAAAACACACTTTCAAACTGGACAGTACTCCATGTGGAAAGTCTAGATTTCTCACCGTCTTAACGAATCCAAGACTGCTTTCTTGGTATTGTTCGCTGCTTTCCTAATTTCCACAGAGTCAAAACAGTGGTACATCCTCCACCAATTAGGTGCTGTTGGGATGCATCCCAGCCATGCATACAATGCTCAGCCTCTTCCATCAGCAGCCCAACACCAGAGATAGAAAAACAAGTAGTGAGGGACCAGAGGGCCTGAGTGGTTAATGCCAGTTTTCTCTTTTCTGAGTAGACTCCTGGAGGACAGCTGCTTGTTTGGAGAAATTCATCCAATGAAGTCATCTGTCATTTCCCATTAATAGACCGAAACCTCCTCAGTTACTCATGTCTGTGTCCGGGAGGTCTATCTATGACTTAGGGAATCTCTAGCCTGTCGTTCAATTACTCATGTCTGTGTTCAGTTCCCCAGGAGCCTGTGACCTAGGGAGGCTCTAACATGCCACTTCAAGTTTCATGAAAACATGAACTCGCCGTCAGTTTACTTTTTAATCAGAATCGTGTCCTATAGAGAATGCCTGTGCCTGTCCTCTGACCCTGCGTCACAGGAACTGAAGATGTGAGGGGGATATGGATCCCCTCCGCACCCCAAACCACTCCGCTTTCCTAGTCGTGATGGAATCCATTTGTGACTGTCCTCTGCTGTCTAGTGTTCCAGTTGAGAACAGCAAGCTGGCTTCAGCTGGGCAGTGGCTTCTGCAGAGCTCCTGCAAGTATGTGGAGAACAGGCACCACCATCCATGTCCTGGAAGGACAGAGCTGGCAGGCTGATCAACCTTGCCCTGTACTCACCTCTCGAAGACATCATGTTGGCAAATAACAGAATGTTTTCAGAGTGCCCCATTTTCTTACTTGGGAAGTAACGGGGTGTATGCAAACTAAACAGCCTCAAGAGCTCTTTAATGGTCTATGACTCAGTGACTGGACTAGGGAAGGGCTTTGAAGTATTGCCCCCCGCTGTCCATTGTTTTCATAACATTATTTCTATCGTGGTACAGCGTATAGAGAGAAGGGTGTGATTTGATTACTTTCCATAGATCACAGTCCCATCATTTCTCTCTAGTCATGATTTAGAACATTGATAGAAACCTTCACTGTCCTCCAAATGCTATCTCCCTTCCCTCAGAAGTGTCTAGTCTCCCAATACAGTTATATGGGTTAGTTTCCCTGTTTTTAAATTTGCTGTGAAAAGGATCACCTGTTACATGCTATTTTGTATGAAATTCATCCTTGATATCACATTTAAATATTGAATTACTTAATTTACTTTTGTACAATGAGCCTGCAACATCTGATGGAAATGAAAAATCAGATGATTTTATGTAAAAAAGATCTTGATCTATACCATATACCATACAAAAATATTTTGTGTTGGGTTAATGTTTAATTAAAATGTTATCTATTTAGTGCTGGCATAGTTCTAGAACCTCTTTTCTGTCTTATTCATCTATGACTGACTCCCTGTGATGATGACATAAACTTGTCACATCCTTCTACAGTGAGTCTTCAATCATGTAATGTGAGCCTTTTCTAATATGTGGAGAATATATGGGTATTATTTTGTATGTGGATGTCTGATTGTCCAAGCATGATTTGTCAAAAAAAAAAAAAGACTATCTCTTGTCTTTGCTCGTTTGTCAAAGATTAGTTCAGGATTTTCACATGGAATGCTCTCTGGGCTGTCTTCTCTGTCCATTGGTTTAGAGGATGTTCACACGAATGCTCTCTGGGCTGTCTTCTCTGTCCATTGGTTTAGAGGATGTTCACACGAATGCTCTCTGGGCTGTCTTCTCTGTCCATTGGTTTAGAGGATGTTCACACGAATGCTCTCTGGGCTGTCTTCTCTGTCCATTGGTTTAGAGGATGTTCACACGGAATGCTCTCTGAGCTGTCTGCTCCATTCTGTTGGTAAGTTATCTCTTCTTTTCCTAGTGCTATTTTTTCAGGTCACTGTGAATTTCCAGGAAGTCTTAAGCTTGGAAAGGTCAGCCCTTCAACTTTCCTCTTGTCCTTAAATGCTGTGTGGATTATGGTAGAGCTTTTCTCTTTCTGTATGGACTTCAGAGTCAGTTTTCATACCTACAAAATAACGTGTTTGCTTTAAGCTTGGGATTTGAATGAAGTTATAAATCAAGGCAGGAAGATTTGACGCCATATTGACAATAGTGAATCTTCCTCTCTGAGGACATCCCATTTACTTAGTTCTTGATTTCTTTCATCGGTTGTGGATGTGAACATATATGTTGCTAGATTTATATTCCTATTTCATTTTAGAGCATTAATATAAATAACATGTTTACAATTTCAAGTAAATCCTACTTTTCCTTGCTGACACATGCAAAGCCGTTGATTTTGTGCATTAAGCTTTTAGCTTGCACCCTTCCTAAAGTCACTTTGCTGTGGCATTAGCTGGGACATCCAGCGGAGTGTTGTGAACAATTAATGGGAACTTAGGCTCGCTGTACTCTTGATGTCGGTGGGAAAGCTTCCTGTTTCACAAGATTATGACTTTAGCTTTTAGTCTTTTGTAGATGCTCTCTATGAAGCTGAAAGAGTTTGTTCTTACTTTGTTAGGAATGGGTACTGGCTATTTCCATTTTTTTTCTGCATTTATTAATAAGATCAGGTAATGTTGATGAAGTGGATTAAAGTAACTGACTTTTAAACGTTGGGGAGAATTGAGCCCACTTGGCTATAGCATATAATTTATTTTTTAATCTAGGATTAAGCTTACTTGCAATTTTTACTCTTTCCTTAATATTTTGGTGACGATTTCTGCATCTGGCGTCATGATAGATATTGGCCTGTAGTTCTCATAGCGTCTCCCTCGGGGATTGCTTTCGGTGTAACACTAGCCTCCTAGGGTTGATCTGGAAGAGTGTCCTGTGTTGCCAATCTTCTGAAGATATTGCAGAGACCTACTATAATTTTCCCTACAAAGTTTGGTGAAATTCCACAGAGAACCTGGGACTATGTGTTGCTTTTCATGAACAGAGTCATGAGCTGCAAAATGTGGAATCTGGGACTAGAGTTCAGGGGATCATAGTCAAAGATCTCCTGCTCAGCTTGACAACAACTTAAAGCAAAGTTCAGAGGATTCTGTTTATCACTACACTGTGGTTTTTTTTTAAGCAAGATTTTTCAGAAGATGTGTGCTCTTATAACTTATAGGAAGGATTTATTTGCTACTTACAAACATAAAAACTGTTGAATACGCCCCTAAAATGCACAGGTTACACCAAAAATATTTTAGTATTGAAGACATTGCATTAAGTTTTTATCACTATGGCAAAACACCCAAGAGAAACGATTTAAAAGGAGGAAAGATATCTTGTGGTTACAGAGATTTCAGCTGTGGATTCATAACTATGGGCATGAGGCAGCGCAAATTATCATTGGTAAAGTATGTGCTGAAAGAGGCTGCTCACTTTGGGGTGGCCTGGAAGCAGAGAGTGTTAAGAAAGTTGGGATGGTGAGATAGCACTTCCTTCCTTCAACTAGACATACCTCCCAATATCCCGTTCAGCTAGGAAACTCATCAGTGAGTTGATCCATTGATGGAGTTAGTGATTTTATACACCACTCACTTCTCAGTACCATCACTAGCTAGGGACCAGGCTTCAGCCCACGAGGCTTTTGAGGGGACAATTCATACCAAACCCTAAAAGGTATGCTGTGTTTGTGGACAAAGCAATCATTGGTTTGGCTGTAGCTATGTGCCAGTGAGGTTTAGCAGGATTAAATTCCTTCTGGACTTGGTAAACTATGCAGTAACCACACTGAGCATAGATATTGACTACTGAAAAGTCAGTGTCTTCAAAGAAGCTTTAAGGTGTTGTGTAGATGCCTTCCTAGGAAAAGGTAAAGCAAAGGAAGAGGAGGGAGAG